TATCGTTCAAGCTATTGGAAAATCTTACAGCATCAGTTACAAAAAGAATCCAAATGTGAAACTGGCAGAAATTTTATAAACAAAATAATAATTATTACTTTAAAATAATTTTTCTTGGCCACAAAAGTGGTAATTTATAGAGCATTGCTGAATACAGGGACTTTGGGTAGCTACCCCAATTCCCCCAAAATAGTGTGGTTATGAGACAGCACTCTGGAATCAGAATATAGCTCAGAGTGGAATGAAGCTGCCGACTCCACGAAGTCTTGGCCCGTATGGTCTCAACCTCAGCCTTGTTGAAACGTGCTCTAATCATCCAAACCAAACAGCTGAAAGGCAGCAGGATTAAAACCCAGAAGGAAATTATATCTGGTACAGACTCAGACGATTAACTGGCCTAGTATTACTCTTTAAAATTGGATGGGAGTAATTCCAGCGTCATTGGGATCTCGTTTGCACCTGTCCCCGATTCTGTGAGTTTGTTTCATCCCTCCAAATGCCTCTGAACAGCATTGTGATGTGCCGCCAGCCGATGCCTCTGTAGCTCCATAGCTGCTCATTGATATGTGGTTTCGAGAGAGACTTCTCAGGATAGTCATTCCCGTGAATTAAATCTGAAAACTTAATTGAGCAAGAGTGACCTATTAGCAATGGTCATGGGATATTGTTTAGAAAAACCAACTGTGTATTATTTTACTTGGCAGAGAGTTAAAATATCCACGCAGGAGTTTACAAAAGAAGTTGCAGCTGACCCTTGACTATAGTTTTATTGGCAAGTTTTGCTAAATTACGTACTTTTAAGTCGAGCTTACTGTGAATGCCTTATCTCCCAATAGAACAACTGCTTTCCCTGTTACAGGATGTATCTTATTGTCTGATTCCTTTAGTTGGCCGTAGTGGAATATATCATAACCTGGTTCATGACTGTTTGGTTTTTTCCCCAAACATTAAGTATTACCTTAAATATTACCTAATATGAGTTGCCAGTATTCATCAACTAAGGTAAGTTACCAAGTCGGAAGAAAACGTAGTCAGCTTTAGTACCGAGCCACTGAGCACCGACCTCTGTGGAGAGCGTGGGAGATTGAGCAGCTCAGGTCTGTACAGGAGTGGAGTGTCCCGGATCTGGGTGAAAACTGCTTCACAGTCTTCTTTTTCTGCTGCTTTAATGATCTGGAGGTTTACTTACTTCTAGTCCCTGTTTGCTGCTCCCAGCACGGTGGTGTTGGAGAGTGAGAGGAGTTTGTCATCAGCCTTTGTAAAGTGTGCAGCCTGGGGCTCTGAGGTCAGCGCCCGCTAGAATTCCACCGAGCCTCACCTAGATCTTTACCTGGAGAGTTAGTGTTCACACAGAGGAAAATTAAGATCTAAAACATTGCTTTTCTTTCTCTTCAAACTTAATATAATAAATCCTATTAAAGATGAAAATCTCCAAAAATTGATAAGGTTATTGAGTTCTATTGAGTGACCTACTTTTGTCCACCAATAGTGTGGCAACTATCACTGCGGTTATTCTTCAGCGAAGAGCACTTGGAAACCCCCACAGAGGCCCTTCCAGTGCGGGTTAGAATGCTGTGCTTCATGACCCCTGTGCCTTACGTGAAGGTCACGCCGGCTTCCTGTGTGCCCGTAGTACACAGAGGCCCTTCCAGTGCGGTTGGAATGCTGTGCTTCATGACCCCTGTGCCTTACGTGAAGGTCGCGCGGGCTTCCTGTGTGCCCGTAGTAGAGCAGACTGCCTGGGGCTGCCGCCTCTGAACTCTATTGTTCACTTCGGCACCTGTCTCACAAGCCAAGGACTCAGTTTCCCTTAATTCACTACACCTTTTTCAACGCGATGCAGTTCTCTTCCCTGAATGCCGTTATTTGTGGTCGTTTTACTAGAGGAATCTCCTGTGTGTAGTCCCACCGACTTCCCTTGTGCTGGAAATCTGCCCTTCTCACAGCTCTTTCGGAAGCCTGCGGGAGCCCTGCATGGATGTGGCCCCTTGTCGACCCTGCAGGACCGTGCGTCCATTAAGCATTCAGGGAGCATGCTCTGCCGGCCCCTGTACTAGATGCCAGGCACACTGGGGATGAGATGAGGGCCTCAGCCAGGCTTCCTAGGGGGGACACAGGGAGGAGGCTCTTGCACGGCACTGAGATAAATGCAGCTCAGGGAGCAAGGCGCGAGGGTCACCCCAGCCAATTTGGGAAGGTCAAGGTGGACTTTCTCTATAATGGTTTTCCATTTTATTATCAGTGCACGTAGAATGTCTTATCACAGTTTATTGGCTGTTTTGCCTTTGGGATTTGAAACATGTTACTCCACCTGAGCCATGAACAACTCCAAGGTTAGAGGCGTAGAACCCTGCACAGTTGAAAATCTGTGTATAACTTTTGACCCTACAAAACTTAACTAATAGCTTGCTGTTGACTGAAAGCCTTACCTATAACATAAATATTAGATTACGATCTATTTTGCATGTTGTATGTATGCTGTGCTGTATTATTACAATGAAGTAAGCTAGAGAAAAGAAAATGTTAAAATAATAAGAACAAGAAATACATCTGCCATTCATTAAGTATAAATGGGTCATCATAAAAGTCGGTATCCTGGTCGTTTTTGCATTGAGGAGTGGAGGAGGAGTTGGTCTTGCTGCCTCCAGGCTGGGGAGGTGGAAGAGCTGGAGAAGGCGGAAGGGAGGCCGGAGAGGCAGCTGAATTTGGTGTCACCGTTACCGAAAAAATCTGCCCATTACTGGATCCACACAGCTCAAACCTGTGTTGTTGAGGGGTCAGCCATACTTGCTTTTTAGAATTTTCACTTTGTCTTCTGTACAGTACCCTGATCCATGCTAAGGAACATCTGACAAGCCATAAAAGTCCAAGTTTTTAAGATTTAAAACACTGTTGTTTCATTCATAAAGCACCAAAAACAGAACAATAATCTTTTTAAGGAAGAGAACCATTAGTCATGGATGCTTTTGTTCAGCAAACAGCTAGGTGCCACCCCTTGCCTCTCATCATGGCAGAGCCACCATGTCTCCGGAAGAGGCAGAGAAGAGTCTGACCTGCCCCTCCACACCCCACCGACTTATTTGGCAAAATAAGCCACCAGGAAGCTTTGGTTACTTTGAGGGAGCATTAGACCCTCTCAATCTGTTTGTGGTTTAGGGATGAGGGGTGGGGGGCTCTGCAGAGGAGCTGGGCAGGCCGTGTGACCTTATGCTGCATGTGACCCTACACTGCTCATGACCCTGCACAGCTCACTGATGGTCTTTTGATCCTTAATCTGCCCAGAGTTTTGCTTCCATTAAGGATTATTCCTCCCCCTCTCTTTTCCACCCTCTCTGTCTTTGTCTCTCTGCCCTTACTCCCTCGCCCTTCTCTCCCTGGCTGCCTTCCCCCTGAATCTCCCATGGCTGCCTCCTCTCCTGCCCCTCCACCTGTATAGTCACTGCCTGAAGAGTCCTTGCTGCTCCAATTTAATTTTTTATTATGCAAGAGACCACTTCATTTTCCTGCTAATGTGCCCCGTATGATATTGCAAGCCTAGTTTAGGCACTTGCAAACAGCTTTGCCTTAGAAGTTCTTTTCCAAACTTTTGCAAGAGCACCGCATACCAGGTTTTACTCCCTCTCCTTTGCAGCCTCTTCATCCTGTCTCCAGCCCTTAAAATGGGGGGGGGGTCTCCACTCTCAGGCCCAGCCCCTCCTTTTCTCCATTCTTATGCCTCCTCCAGGTCCTGTGTCCCTGGCTTTGCTTTGTGGGCCTGTCGTAGACTCTCAGACTGGCTCCCCAGTGCTGTCTTCTTGGAGCTCCAGACCTGTGTGTTCACTGCTATGTGGCATCTTCTGGGATATTTCAAGACAGCATCCAAAGTCAGAACTGTGATCTTTTACCAACCTCTTCCTCCCCAGGGTACCCTGGGGAGGAAGAATAGCGCCTACCTAGCTGTGCAAGCGGGGAACTGGGGGTCTTCCAGAGCAGCCCACCTTCCATGGTTGTGGGGCCCCTTCACAGGCCTTGTGTATTGGCGTCCTGAAAGAGACCTCTCCCAATCAGTATTAATTACACTTTTTCTCAAGAACTTCTTAAAAGTTTAGCCTCCTCCTCACGATACCCTGATGAGATAACAGGTGTGAATTCTCCCTTTTATTTATTTATTTTTAAAAACCTTTCCCATTCCATTTGGGAGTGTTGGTATCATTTAACTGAAAAGAATATGTATTTTATTTAAGTATAAACATTTTCCACACGTGCCTTTTTGCATTTTGTAATATTTAAGACTTTACGGACATTATATACTATGAATAATTATAACGAATTAATGAGTTTTATCTGCAGGTTCTTAAAAAAAGCATGTATGGTGTCTGCTTAATTTTGTTTTTTTTTTCTGATACATTTTCACTTTGCAAATGCATTTGATAAAAACTGTAGTAATAATTTCATAGTTCAGAGAAGTGCAAGACATACTATCATAATAAATAGAGCTTTACTATGGGAAACTAAAAAAGGCATTCTTACCTCGTGGCCCAGTGTAAACAATGGGTGTTGTAGATGTTTCTGATGTGTGTCTTCAAGCTAAATTTTGTCAGTTTAGAAATCCTATATTACTTGGTTTTATTTTCCAGCAATATTAAAATGATTGGAAAATAAAATCAAGTAATATAGAGTGTATTTTCTGTACGTTCTTTGTCTTTTCTGTTGGAACATTCATTGGTGTGTATGGATATCACAGTCGATAGACAGAAATGAGCCTGTGACTCCTGGAACTGGATCCTCCACAGAGTCTGTTTAAGATCCAGCTGCACCCACACTGTCCACTGATGGAGTGGGACCGTTAGCCTGTGTTTCATTAGACTGTTGAGCCCTTTGGCCTTTTAAAAATATATATGATCGGGAAATAAATTCTCATATAAAGGTGGGTGTAGTACATGATTTTAGCGTTGTTTTAGGAACGCTGGTGTTTAAGAGAAAACAAATCACTTAGCCCTGACATTGTCTTGTCTTCCCAGGTGTACCTTGAAAGACTCTTAACATACGCAGAGATAGATATCTGTCCGGCCAACTGGAAGCGGATTGTTCTGGGGGCAATCCTGCTGGCCTCCAAGGTGTGGGATGACCAGGCTGTATGGAATGTGGATTACTGCCAGATCCTGAAAGACATCACGGTGGAGGACATGTGAGTGGCGGGGCTTGTCAGAGTCTCAGCCAGACTGTTTGGGAAGAAAGCTGCCTCCTTTTTAATGATCCATATGGTACAGAATGAGTGCATTTGACTGAATGTCTCTTGTGAGTTACAACAACAGGGGCACGATTGTGCAATATGGCATATGAAAACCTGCATTTCTCATTATGTGGATCATGAACAGGTACTGCTGACATTTCCTGGTTTTGTGAAACTGGTTTATGGAAACTGTAGTATAGGCAAACACCCCTTTACTTAAAATTAGAAAGGTGTGGCTGAGCACAGGTAGCAGCCTGTGATGGTTTGTATTTGGGCTTCGTATCTTACTGCAGACTGTTCACAAAGAGGTAATGCCCCATACAGTCCTTTGGGGGCAATAAGCCAATCCAAAAAGCACAAAAGCTAAAATATTTTACGTTTTTGTTTAGTTTGACAGAGAAAACATCCACAGCTTTGTCATGTTTTGCACGTTCAGTTGCTTCAGGTCAGCCTTGTGTTCCTGGGGCTCCCAAGTGCAGCATGAGCAGGGTTTGGGGAGGGGCATCGGCCTTGGGGGTTGTGGGGACTGAGAACTGTCCAGTCCCCTAGTTTTCCAGGCAGTGTCAGGTTTCTCAGATGGACCAGTCTTCAGTTAAGGTGAGGATTATTAGTAGGACACTTGCATTCTATTGTCTGGGGGATCTCTAGGGACTGGGAATCCAGGAACTGAGTTCAGAGCCCTTGGGAAAAAGGAACTGTAGAAAGCAGTCAGATAGCACTACTTGACTTACAGCTCCTTATGGTTTATAGTCATTTCTGACATTATTATTGTAGCTACTACTTGTCTCATATTTTTTGTTTGGCAAACCTCCTCAAGGAGGCTTTGTCCCAGTCTACACTCATGCCCGTACACCCAGTAATCCTTGGATTCAGGAGCTTCTCAGTGCCTGTGACAACTACCACTGCAGGGGCATCTCTGGGCTGCACACTTGTGGGCATGTGACTTCCGGATTCCACAGCAGCCTAGGGCCCTCCTTGCCTCTGGTTCGACTCCCTGGGCGCCCATTGTTGTGGTACCCTTTGAAGTGTGCTTGCTTATGTTGTCAGGGCATTTGTTGCAGAGCCTACTTCTGCTGCAGACCATAAAATGTCATCCTGTGTGTGGTGTTCTTTATTACATAAAGTAAGAAAAACATAAAGAAGGTTTTTAAAATCAGAGCTATATAGTAAGAAAAATAAAATTCTTGATTATATTTCATGGTGAAAACAGCTACTAAAATAGTTGTCATTCAGATCATAAAGGAGATGGACATTTGGGTGCAAGGTATAAGAAATTGTGGCCTGTTTGCTTTATTAAGGATTATTCTTTCCTCAGCTCCTTGGTATCGTTTAACACTGAACTGCACACGTCACGTGGTGACTTTCTGGCTGTCCCCGCCTGTTAGGTGGTACATGACCAGTGACTTGGTATAGGTGGCACCCAGGTTCTGTGAGAGCACGGAGGACCGCACCATGACTAGGTGTTCCCACTTAAAGTCAGAATGCCTGATGAAATTAGACTTAGTCGTAAATATTTTTATTTATATCCTAGCTATATTTCCAAAAGGAAGTGAGAGACAAACGCAGATTACCACAGAAGCATGATAACAAAAGAGAACAGAAAAATGACCAGTGAAGAACAGGAGCGGTGTGGAACCCACCAGGTTTAATTCACCAGAATGCTAGCAAACTGAATTTTCATGGAAACTTAGGCTCAATGGATCATCCTTAGTTGATTTAAAATGTTTGAGGAAATGTTTATAAAGTATTTGTCAGGAGACACACATGGCCCAGATCATGCATGTGTCAGTTGAATCCTCTCAGCAACCCTGTGACGTGTGCACTGATGTCCGTGTTACAGATCTGGATACTGAGACCTAGAGAGGTTAAGTAATGCTGCAATTCAGTACCCACGTGGGGAAGTGTACCCCCCGATGAGGAAAGGCTCACCTTTCTTAATCCCAGGGACCATTCGTTAGACAGTGGTCAAACGGAAATGATGTTTACTGGTCCTCAGGAAGATGTTTTAACTAAGGGCCTGAAACATTCATTTTAATTTTTCCTACTCTCCTAAAATTAAGAGGTGGGTGGGTAAAGTAAGAAGTAATTTGGAATTCTAGGTACTCAGTTTCTATTCATTGAAGGTTTAAATTCAAGTCATTAAAAACCAGACAATTATCAGGAATATTTATAATTGCAGTAACAACAGCAGCAGCTATCTTATATTGAGCACTTCCTAGCTAAAAAAAAAAATGACTTTTCTGTGTTAATTCACATCTCACGTTTACCAATGAGGCGGAACTGTTATTATTCCCTTTTTACAGATGAAAATGAGGCACTGAGAATTAAGTAAGATGCTCATCCAATCACTTGATTAGGAAGTCCGTCAAAATGTATGTTTCTTCTCTTCTAAGCAATTGGAGCTACAGTTGTTTCATTTATCTAATACTTAATTTTTTAAAAACCTATTTTTTGTAAGTCAACTCTTTTTCTACACAGGGAAGTTTAAACAATTGGCCAGGGTTCATTCAGCTGAAATTAACTTACTATCAAGAATTGTTTTGATAATGATAGCCTTAATATCTCTTCTTTTGTTGGGCAGTCAGTACCTTAAGCAATTATACATTATAATAAGGTTGGATTTTTTTCAAGTGCAAAATAGTAATAGTTACTATATTGAATGAAACTCTTGCTTTACTCATTAAGAATTGGAAAGAATCAGCACCATCTTTAGTAAAATAGGATTCATGCTAAAATTCTGTTCCATGTTTTGTCCAAAGAAAATTGATAATTTTTTAGCATGTTTTTTGTCTTTTTTGAAAGCCATTGGTGCCCAGGCTACCCCATCACCATCTGAGCCACTGGCTGAACCTTAGTGATTCATGCAGCATTTGGTCAGTGCCCCACATGCCTGGAGCTGGGCAGAGGAAGGAGGCATTCAGGAAGACCTTATGTTCCTAAAAGGTCTGACCGTAAATAGTTCTCCTGAAGAAACTCCGGAGTGCCGCCTTGTTCCACTGTCCTCTGCCAGGCTGGAGCACAGATCCTGGGGAGTGCAGCTCAGGCGCCCTGTGCTCCTCTGCCTCCCTTGCAGAGCCCTCGGTTTCCGGGCAGGGGCAAACAACCAAGCTTTCCCGTGGAGCTCCTGAGCAGGGAGAGGGCTCACAGGTTTCAGATGGAGAGCTTTTCAAATCGGGTTTTTGGAAGGGCTTGTTTTTCCAGGCACCCTTCTTGCTGCCTTCTCTGTGTCCCAGCGTCCTGAAGGGACCTTCCTGGTATTTTTGACCACAGGCTAATGTCCTGCTCAAGAATGATCCAGCAGTGAGAACTTGAGTCCCCCCATGTACCTTTGGACAGCAGGGTTCCGGCTTGGAAGGCAGCTGACTGTGTGGTTGTGCATCCGTGGGTGCAGGCTGAAGAACATTATGCGACGAGCGTCACTGGGACTTGCAGGCAGAACAGCCAGGGCACCAGGCCATGTGGGCAGTCACCAGCTTCAGGCAGACCTCGTGTGAGCAGATGAGGCTGAGGGCCAGCCGGAGCTCCCGCTCCTGCCAGCAGTCAGTGGTCATGGCATCACAGGCCAGCTTAGAGCAAGAAGTGGCAACTGCTGTGGGTGGGGAAAGGACAATGAAATTTCCCTGTGCAGAGTTCTGTAGGCAAAAATGCTGTAAAAAAGAATTACACCTCGAGGTTTGTCTGTTTCTTGTTTTTGTTTTGCAGTGTTCCTGTGTCATTTTCATGTGTAGGCAAATCCAAATAAGGAGAAATCAAGTGACTTGTCCAAGTGTTGCATGGCACAGAAGGTCCCAGAGAAAGAACCTCAGTTCCTCTGTGTCTGGCATTGTTTTGTTTTTAAGTTGTAAAATGTATGTAGCATAAAATTTACAATTGTAGCCATTTTTAAGTGTACATTTCTGTAGCATTGAGTACATTCATATTGTTGAGCAACCATTACCACCACCCATCTCTAGAACCCTTCATTTTCGCAAACTCAGGCTGCTCCCATTAAACACTAACTTGCCGTTCCTCCTTCCTCCGGCTCCTGGTCATCACTGTTCACTTTTTGTCTTCGTGAACTTGACTTCTCTAGGGACCTGATACAAGTGGGATCATACAGTCTGTGTCCTTCCATGTCCGGCGTGTTTCACTTGCCGTAATGTCCTCAGGGTTCGTCCATGTTGTAGCATGTGTCCGAATTTCCTTTCTTTTCAAGGCTGTGTAATATTTCATTGGGGGTATGTGCCCTGTTTTGTTTATCCATTCATTCATCCATGGACACGTGGGTTGCTTCCACATTACGCTAGTGGGGATGGAGGCTGTGAGTGTGGCTGTGAAGATACCTCTTCAAGACTCTGCTTCTAGTTCTTTTGGGAAGTGACCCTAGTTTCTAGAAAAGTAGGTGGCATATTAGATGATTAAAACAACTATTTTTATAACATTTTAGAGTTCTGTTTTCAAGTTGCTGAATACAATGTTGATCTAGTGTAACAAATATTTCTGAAATGTGCTTTTCGTTGATTGACTTGAATGTATTTCTTACAACGTTTTACACCAAAACTGTTTCTTGCTAGTTATCTAAATGCAGATAGTGAATCCATAAGGCCCATTCTTGGCATCACATTAGTTTTATGATGATTTATCACATAGCAAGCTGTCAGTCTCCCTGTAGTAGATAATGCTGCTGCAGTTTGGAAATTCAAGTTTGGGAAATTATTTTTATTTTCTAAATCTTTAGAAAAAATTTTATTGTTTGAAAACACAACAGCTCTAAAATCTCTTATTTCCCCAAAGCTTACCCAGAAACTTAAGCTTGGAGAAAGGTTGTTCTGTTTTCCAGGGAGCGCTGGGAAAATGCCACCTCGTTGAAAAGCAGCTTCCTCTGCCTTTGCTCGTAGTGTCTGCCTCCATCTGGAACCATGGTGTCTGTTTATCATTTCGGGCAGGATTATCAGGCTGTTCTCTTAGAACAGGAAGCCCTCCTTAGCACTGGAGAGTACGCTTTGCAGTGACGCCTGTTGGCCACCAGACGGCGGTCTGTCCGCAGATAGCTCCCAGGTTCACCTGGCATTTGCTCCTTGGATGTTTATGTTGGCACTTCTGGTCTTAGCGGTGCTTCTGACACTTTCGTTTCATTGAAATCTTACCTGGGTTCCAGTGTTTCACAGGATGATCTCTTATTAAATGTCATTTAAATGAAACAATTTTTTTTTTTTTTTGAGACAGAGTCTTACTCTGTTGCTCAGGCTGGAGTGCAATGGGGTGACCTCGGCTCACTGCATCCTCTGCCTCC